GACCGTGCATAGTTCTTCAGTGCAATGTTACATGAGCACCATTTGTGACTTCCTGCCAGAATCTTCATTACTTTTGTTTATTAGAAGCTGGCAGTAAAATCACAAATAGCAATCATGCAACCATGGGCCTCTGCAACCATTTGCCAGTTGCCAAGCTCTTGCAAAGGGTTGGACTAGATGACATGCACGGTCCCTTCCAACTCTGTTAATCTGTTAGAATCTGGATACACAGTTGTGGATGCAACTGTGAGGACCAATCTTAAGTCTTGTTGTTATGTGCTGTTGTAATTTAAAACTATTGCTGTGGTTAAATCTGTGCTAGCATTAATTATAATAGGAAAAATATAAAAGAAACTGGTGGATTAGATAATAAACGTTTTTTCAAAAAACCAAAATCTTCATAAATACTATGTTTGAACTGAGGAGGCACTTCCTTTCATTGAGAAACAAGAAAAGAAGAATGTTTTGGAAGTACTGTCCACTTTACACTGAATGATCTCAGACTGGCATCTTCTCCATTAATCTTTTGATAGGAAATTCCTTGCTGTGAGCAATAATGTGAGTATATTTTTATTAACATAAGCAAAAAGGAATTTCAGTTTTTAAACAGTGATCCTTTCAAAATATTTGAATACATTAAATATGACTATATTTTCCTTTAGAAAGTAGATAGTACTGATGATAAATATTGATAAATATATTGAGTTTTCATATATTTTACAAAAAAATTGTTTCTAGTATGACCTAATTAACTACTGAGATACTGCATTAAATAAACAACATTTTTAGTGAAATATTAACTTAATGAGACACTTTATTAAACATGTATTCTCCATAGTAAAAATTAAGAGAGAATGTTCTACACTTCAGATGCAACATGAGTTATGAAGTAATTTACAATAATTTATTGGTGTGTGTATTACTCTGCGCCACAAAATAAGGAGATGATACATAAGTATACTGTACATCCAACTGGAATTGATAGTTTGTCTCTTATCTTCTATTAGTTTTTAAAATTAGTCTGTTAGAAAATACTTGTGTACACTGGATATTTGGTATTTTTTTGTTACTGATTATCCTAATCTTTTATTTTCAGAAGCCAAAATCAATAATCTTTGTTTTAACTAAGTCCTTTTAGCTCAGTCACATCAAGCAGAATACAGCGAAATCAATGGAAAAAATATGACAGCATTTCACCCAAATCATAATAATTTTTAACTTTCTTGTTTTTTATTGTATGCAAACGTATAAAGAAGAGCAGAAATAAAATGATGGAGGGGGAAAAACCTGTGTCTTCTTTATTAACTTTTCCTATCTTTTTAAAAATATTCATATGTAAATAAAGCCCTCCGTTCAAATTTTGTACTAAGTTTAACTGACAGGTACATTTTGGAAACAGTTGTAGTCTGTCTGCTGAAATAAAGATTAAAAGATCAAGTTTCCCTTAACTTCCAAACTGGTCAAACCACAGCTGGTGCATCAAATTTTGAGCAACTGTTCAATGCAGATACAACAAGGCTTCTGTCTTACAGTTGGGTTTTGCTCAGGTCATCTGCATGTGGCATGGATTAAAGCAGCAGTAAAACTTTTTCAAAATATAAAACTAGGCTAAACAGTGAGATTATAGACCAAACTCTTCCGATACTGGTAGATTTTGCCTTCTAATATGTTCTTCAGAGGGATTAAATTCACAAGGCAAAACTGTATGAACTTACATTTTTGCAACAGTATTGAAAGAATGAAAAAGATGTGATTTAAAAAATAAAAAAAGGCAAAGGGAATAGAAAATAATATGTGGAGGGAAATCTCTCAAGCAAATATGTTTTCAACAGGAACAATTCATTTCCTTGTACCAAAAAAAATCTTCTTATATAAAAAAAAATTAACTAACAAAGCATCTCTTTTATTAATGCAATTAATTCATTATCTTCAGAATTGGATATCAGAATTTTGCTGATATAAATCAACTAACCTATTTCATTATTTTTAAATAAATACATAAATGTAATAAATAAATAAATAAATTTAAAATTTTAAATTATTTTTATAAATTAAAAGAAACATGAAAATTAATGAAACCAAATTATGAAAACCTCTTTTCAAAGGNAGGGGGTTGGACTAGAATACCTCCAAGATCCCTTCCAACTCTATTATTCTGTTATACCACACTCCTTTGCTTAGTGCCAAATTGATAACTACTATATTCACTAAGACTCCCCATCCCCCATCCATTAGGGTCACAGAAGCATCTCATACCTGTAAACCGCCATACTCACTGCTTTTCTAAAGACATTTTGATTCTTGGGGAATTCTCATTAGCATTCTCATTATTAACAATAGCTGTATATTCTTATGAAAATAATTTTACTTACGAATGCACATTTCCCTGCTTTCATAAAATCCAGGGCAACACTGAGATTTCCGTCTATACATGGTCTTTTCTCCATGCCTATAAGCAGTTCGATAGCTGATTCTGTTAAAATATGGACATGTAAAATTTGTGAGCAACTATTTCAAAAGCTATGGCTATTTAAGGATAAATTGTATTGGTTCTATAAATCAGCTACATCCCTTACAAAGAAAGATAAGCATTATCTGCAAATGGAGATCCTATGCAAGATCTATGACAAATACTGCAGAATTGTAGCTGATACTATATGGATTTGTAACTTACATTTGCTATTAAATATTTTAACTAATTAATTGGTACACATTCAGACCAATATTTAATTTTTAAATGCACAAAACCATTGCCAGACAAGGGAGCACAGCAAGAGCAAAGTATACTTCTCTGAAGTGTCATGAATTTACAAATTCCGAACTTTTAAAACTCAAAATGATTCAACATTAAAAACAAATTCTGTAGTGTTCAAAAAGAATCAGTAAATAAATACATGAGTTTATTTGTTAAACTAATTTCTATAACTACCCAACTCACACACAGTGGCTCCAAGGGGGTAGGGGGTTAATAAATACAGAGCAGTTATACTGCAGAACCACTTGAAAATTTCTGTTCTCAAATAATAATATTATATCCATTTTACTGAATTATCTTTTTAGAGAAAGAAAAAATCTTTGCAAGTCATACAGTCCTCTTTAAACTAGTAATGCATTTCAAAATTCAGGATAGTATTTTCAAGGCTTATAGAAGATAATTTATACATGTAAATATTAGTGGCACTGTAAATATGTAAATATATCCATATCATCTGATTTTGCAAATGCTATCAATGTGCCACTATGCTTCAATATGTTTTCTACTGTTTTTAACATGTATCAACTATTAAGTATTTATAAAACATCACTTAAAACAGGTAGTCAAAATAGAGTTACTAAAAAAATCACCTGTGTCGTGTACACTTAAACCAGTTCAGTATGTCTGTACAGCTGGTGTAGTAAATCTGATCAAAAGGATGGGGATAGGATTCTTGCACTGTAACAGAATAACTGCACAGGAAAAAAGGAATAAAATTATTAAACATGCACTTCGTTAGAGTAATTAAGTGAAGAAATTTCAATAGGATGGAAATAAAGGTGAGAGTGAAAATAATTACATAATAAGATAATTGCACTCCCTACTACAGTGGTCCTGAAATTAAACATGAAAGTGAATAATAATGGGGGCATTGCAGTTGTCCTTCCTTTGAGTGNGTTCTTCTTCAATTTTAATTAGTATTATATTTTACTATTATAATCTAAATATGTTCAAAAAAGGAGTTGACCTGTGGAATGACTTCAGGCCATGTGAAGCAGTGGAAGAGAAAAGGGGCAGCAATAAAAACTCCATGTGTGCCCAAGAAATAAACTGATCTTTTTTAATTATTAAAAAAATACAAACAGATGGCATTGTTATGGAAATTGGTGTTTGGGAATAATAACTTTCTATCATGCCCTTCTCACAGTCAGTGTCTGTGGAATCTATGTCATTTTATTGCATAAAAAGAGACTATGGTTTTGTCTTTAGTTGCTATGCTGTTCTATGACTAAAGGATATTCCTTTCTTCATTCATTCATTTAGTCAGTTCTAATTTGCTTAAGAAAAACACTATCCATTTTTAATCTTATAGTAGTATCTTCCTGACTGACTGACAGCTGAAGAAATAATCAGTGACTCTTCTAATTCTGGCACCAGAGATGCTAGACAAGAAGTCAAAACTGCCAACTGGAGCTGTCAATCAAAATTATGTACACATTAATATTGCACTTCACTTTGAAGGAAAAAGACTGCAGGGAGGTGATTTAAACTATAAAAAGGTGTATTAAACCTCTAAAATACTGACAAATGGGGCGCATGTTCTCAAAATACCTCATAAGAAGGTTTATCCAGGCAAATCAGGTTTGTTTCTTCACAATAAACTCTCTACATGGCACAAATCACCAAGTGCTATACACTTAAATTGTGTGCATTGAGACTTCAAGGCATGTGAAAGAGCTGCTGTTGTGCTTATGCATGTATCAATATTCTTTTAATTAATTATATGTTAATCTACAACTACGAACAAGCCATTTCCCGATGTCTAGGCTGTGTATGGTAATGCAAATAGTCCTAATCTTAATTTGAATCTTTTTAAAACTCTTTTTAATGATGGCTGGTTGGATAGTTTTCCAACTGGAACCACCACTGCAATAAAATAAGAAAAATTACTATTTAAAAAATAAAATTAATGACAGGGGCAAAAGACATTGTATGCAAACATATGTTTCTATTGACCAGAAGGATTGTTTCAATGTACCTGTACACCATTCAATACACTAAACTACAATACTACATCCAATTATGGTCGCCACATCATAAAAAAGATGCTTTAAACACTAGAAAGAGTACAGAGAAGATCAACAAAGATGATTAGAGGACTGGAGGCTAAAACATGTAAACAACTGTGGAATTGGGTATGTCTAGTTTAATGAAAAGAAGGACTAGGGGTGACATGATAGCAATGTTCCAATATCTGCGGGGCTTTCACAAAAAGGAGGGGATCAACCTATTCTCCAAAGCACCTGAAGGCAGAACAAGAAGCAATGAATGGAAATTAATCAAGTAGAAAAACAACATAGAACTAAGGAGAAATATCCCAACAATTACAACAATCAGTGGAATAACTTGCCTCCAGAAGTTGTAGGTGCTCCAACATTGGAGGTTTTTAAGAAGAGCATGGACAATCATTTGTCTGAAATGGTATAGGGTTTCCAGCCTGAGTAGGGGGTTGGACTAGAATACCTCCAAGATCCCTTCCAACTCTATTATTCTGTTATACCACACTCCTTTGCTTAGT